TTTTCTGTTACATTTACGTACAATTATTTCTCACTAATTAAAATTTGTTGTATGTATTCAGTATTATACTTTTTTGCCATATTTAGGAAATAAAGTAGCACAAAGAGTACTAATAGAATAAAATTTCCATTTGTTTAGAGTTTTGACAAAAGGAAGATACATATATTTTAATCCCAACTAAATTTTTAACAGCTTACCTAATTTGTATTATTTGTTTATTCTATACAGATGCGTTTGCACAAGGTCATGGATCACAGTTATATTCAAATCATTTTTATTTTTTATACATTGAGTGTGATAGAGTGCTACAGTGTACCATGTACGTTCAATACAATGTGTATGTGTTGGGTTCAAGACGATGAGGATTTTACAAAGATGGATATCAGCTGTATGGGAATACCCTTCGCCAGATTTCCAGGAAAGTATATATTTTTGCAAATACAAAAAATTATCATACTTAATATTTATTGAATGCTCTTGTGCATAGCATAATTTTCATTATTTCAATACTGATATATTAATATTGATGTACTAATATGAATACCAATATGCTGAATATTTACAATGTGAATGTTATATTATGATGATTATCTTATGTTTACCTAAGCATTATGTTATATTATTGAATATTATTTAAATATTTAAATATATACAGGGGGTGATACTACATGTAAGAATAAGTCGAAAAAAAGGAATAACATTTTTTCGTTTGACGCTTCGTTTTCGAGAAAATCGAGTTTGAAAATTCTATCCAGTGCATGTGCACTGTACCACGTCTAGATTTAGATATGTGTTAATAAATAAGAAATGTTAATGTATGGATAATACATTTATTAATTTTCTTGACATTACTAACGTTAATTACATTACATTATTGAATAAACTGTTCAAAGTGACGTCCTTGTTGACGTGTACATATTGCTCGCCTTGTTAATCAGCCATGAACTAAGGCCAATTTTCCCTCTATCTTTCCCCTGCTCGATCTCTCCCTCTCTTACGGTATGTATCATTGTGGAAAGAGCATAAATTACGAATCTGCGCGGCACTTACCGAAGTTTTCATAAAGTTCACGGGTTCGGGGAGACCGTTGCATTAAACGAGGAGGGGCTGCAACAGAAAACGTACATAGTTGCATTACAGCGCGTGGGGATCTATCTAAAGAAATTAATTAGACAATCACTTAGTTTTTTGTTTCTTTTTCGCGTCTCACACAATTGAGACAGCGTTCGCAACGTCGAATTACATAAAATGTTTATGTTTACGTGTACACAATGTTTGCGTCATAAAAACTGATAAAGACGCATCGTCACGAGGGGATTAACTACGTTAGATCATATCCCGGCAGTGGTGGGATGTACAGTCGGTGTACAGTAAAAGTTCTATAAGAGTTCCAAAATCGGGACCGCTGTGTAACAGCTACAAAAAGGTGGTAGGTTTCTCAAACTCTTTGTATTTTACCGACACCGACGGACACAGAAAGAGACAGCAGACAAAGAAGGGAGAGGTATTGAAAGTCGAGCCAGTCCTAAAATATCAAACACCTACATATCGGTGAGACAACAGAAATACAAAAGAAAAACTTTTTTGCTTTTTCTGTTTTGCTGATAAAAATTTTACTGACATATCCATTTTGTTTTTCTGATTAAAATGAGACCAAACACGGTATAATTCGGTTAATATTTAGTTACTTAATAAGAAATTCCACACATGCATATGTACATGCATACATAATTACGCCCTCCCTATAAATAATTAATACATATTTACGAAAAATTGAAAATAACAAACTTTTGTAGTTTTGTTAGTATTGTCTCACGGACATGCCGATGCCGAATGCGATAAAGAGATG